TCATTAGGAAGGAGTTTGATGCTATGAATTTTTATTATTGGGCAGTTGGAACATCGGCCTACTTGACGATAGACATGTACTTATTCAGCTATCTCATAATGCTGATCACACTCGCATTTTCTCTCGAAAAGCTATCAAGATTGACAATCGTTTTATGAAAATTCTGAAGTGGACTGTCGGTTTAGATTCAAAAGCGGAGTCCCCTATCATTCCTGTTGGATAAAGTTTCCCGGGTTAAAATTACATTTGTTCAACATGGAAATCCTCTACTCTTTAGCAACTGCTTACGTGAAGCCTCTCAAGGTGGATAATCCTACGCTTGTTGTCACTACACCCTATGTGGATTGTGTGTTAGTTGAGAGAGATATCACTCAACTAGCTACAGATGAAATATGGATTGACACTATTCACAAGGGTATTGACAAAAGGTGTAAATGGAACCACATCCTCTTTATTGCTCTCATTGTAGTATGTTGGGCCACAGCTTTCCAATTTGCTATCGTTTGCATTCTCTTCTAAGACCGAACCGAATATTACTAAAGAACAACCACATATTATACCTGTTGAGAAGATGCAACCCGATCATCTTCTCAACACCGCAGTTCCTGAGGAAGAACAACATACTACAGCTATAGATCCAGATGTGTTTATACCACTCACTGTTATTGAAGATGACTCTCTTACATGTCAAGACACACGAGAGTGCTTCTTTGATCCAATATATATATATATATATAAATATGTGTGTGTGTAGACGTCAGGATATGTCAATTTCTTTCTGCTAGGGTTTCGCCATCATGGTGAAACCTGGTCTCCTCGCGATTTTAGTTCGTCGTATCTCTTCTCCATCGCGCTTCATCCGCGTCGTTTGGCGTTGATTTCTTCGTCGCGCACTGTTACACGCGTCTATCAGCTGCGCCTTGCTCCCAGCTTTGTTCGGCTCTCCCAACTTCTTCGTCGCAAGTTCTCAGCTGCGCTCACTCGCCAGAGTTCGCGGCTGCCTGCGTTGTCTGTGTCGATCGACAGTTTGCTGAAGAAATGACTTTTGGACGTTCCTACGCCGCCGCCCTCGCCAGTGATAACCCCGTCTCCGCTCTTCTTTCGAATATGTTTTTGTAATGATATCAGGACAATTTTGCTCTTGGCATTGAAACCGGACTTCTCAAAAAAACTTCCCGTAAAAACGACAAACCTGTAATCTTTCTCACTAAGGAAGAGATCTATACCCTAGCTGCGCCCTGCTTATTGTTCTTAGTAGGTAAGTTTCTTTATGGAAACTCTGAACTTGAGCTAATTCGAAAGGACTTTGAGCAAATGAAGCTGAAGGGGGTTGGAAGATCGATAAATTGGTTGATCGTCACATTCTTATTCATTTATCAAATGACGAAAACTACACCCCCATTTGTTTGCGAGAAGAGTTCTTCGAATAGAAAATCAGGTGATGAACATTTTAAAATGGACGGTGGATTTTGACCCTCGTACTGAACCTCGTATCATTGGCTGCGAATTGCGCTTCCCAGGTTTGAAGATCCACCTTTTTGATCAAGAGCTTCTCTTCGCTTTAGCGATGGTATAGGTAAACCCGCTTTAGAGATGGTATACGGTAAACCCCTCAAAGCTGACGCGCCTACAGTGAATCTGACTCGGCCTTCAAATGCCAGAATTTTGATAGAAAAAGATATTACTTTACCTTTTTCCGAGAGAAATATGGATTGGCACACAACATCAGGGATTTTGGCACCAAGCAGAACTTGAACGGTAACCACTTTATTGTACCCACTGTTGTATGTTTGGACATTCTCCTTCTCAATGTTATCAGTTGCATCTGAATTTAAAACATTCAAGTAAAAACGCTTCTGGATCTGCCCCACCTCATACATGTCCCTTCTCCGCTCCTGAGTGCATTCCATAGACTATTGAAACACCGGTTGAAACGATGCCACCTCCCCCTACCGGAGACAATATTGTCTCTGTCCTTCCGACTGATATATTGGCAGATGGTTCACTTGGGTCCAATAATCAGGATAGTATTGAAGCTCCACATCCCCAGGATGCATCAGGTGTTGAAGAGACATGATTACAATCTCTTCAGGATCAGAATGTTGTTACTGCTAGTTAGGAGCTGGGGGCTCATTCTCTCCTACATGCCCAACAATTTGTTGACCACACCGATCAGATGAGCCAGTCCTCGGATGATGAATGACGGGTATACACATCTAGAAAGAAAAAGAAGAATGGAAGCACACCCCAGCTTGGGAACTTAATGGATGATACTCTAGTAACTTTGAGTAATGGAATGACACTTAGCAATTTGTTAGCTGTCTCCGCTCCTAGAACCAGAGGCAGAGGCAAGACCAAGCTGGCTAGTGCCTAACAGCTTATTTCCAGCAAGTTTTTTTTTTTTGTGTTTTGTGTTTTATCTATGTTTCATCCTTTTAGGATTCTAGTGTCTGATGTATCGTATGTGTAGGACACTTTTTTTTGGGTCCTCTCATACAACCTCTATGTATCTTTTCAATTTCAATGACTCCCACCCGACAAATCAGAGAACTAGTTTTTTTCGTATATATAGATATATATATAAATATATATATATCTATATATATATTTATATATATATATATATATATAGAGATCATACTGGAACATGACATTAGCTACATTCATATATGCATCTATTTCTTTATTTATGCATGCGTATAAAATCAAATTAATTAACTTGAATCAAAACAAACATGATAGACTTGAGACTTGGTTCAAATACATGTAGATTGAGTTAGCCTATAACAATGCTATGCTTGAATCAAGATCAAATTGAAAGGTCTTAAGTTGTTCATGCTTCATGATTGGATTGGCAGTACCAAGTTAAGTTACTCGTAGCCCTGGCTATGAGAAAATCAACAAAAGTTGTCCTTTTATATGCAAGTAATGAAGGGATTATTATTATTATTGAAGAGATTTGGAGTTTGAATTGAAGGGATTTTTGTGAAGTGTAAATTTAATTCTGAATTTTGGATTTTTAAATGAGAGAGCTAAAGGTAGCCAATAGTCACCTATTAATATTTTAATCATTTTTTTATAAAATCCAGTCATGCCCAGCTAGTATTCATTACTTGTTCCACCACTGAATGCAGTTAAGTATGGTGTTAAATATGGATAATAAATGCAATATTGCATAAAACATTCTCAATGTATTGATTGCAATTAAAATTATTCAAGTATTGTTGATCTCAAAATGTGTCATGTTGATGCAATTAGATTGCCAAAAATGCTAGAAGGGACCCTTGCAATCAATTGAGTTGCCACATGGTGAAAATGAAATATACCAAATGCTACATTGCCAAGTGTGAATTGAAACATGTCAACTAAAACTAATTCATCGACTCTTCCGCAAAATAGACTTCATCGACATTACCAAATCTTCAAAGTTAGCTAAGGATATTTGCATTGTTCTTCATGTTACATGAGAATAAGTTGAAAATTTTACTTAAATAATCTAGCTTTATGATATCTAGATTTAACTTTCTCCTCATATGAAGGAGATGGAATAGTCCAAAACTAAAATAAAATAACCTTTTTAATTTTGAGGTCCCACTGTTTGTTTTTTAAATGATTAAATATTAAGGCCATTTTTTTTGTAAAAATTAGAATTTCATCAAAAAAACTCCAAAACTAAACGTACTCGTCCAAAGGCACTTTTAGGATGTGTGACCTCCTTTGAAGTTACACCAATGAGATAAAATCATGAGACCATTAGGCCAAAGCGGACATCATCTTGATTTGTGAGAGTTCGGCTGTTACACTATTAACTAAAATGCTTGAATAGGGATATAACATAATAGTAAGGTAATTACATTGAATGAATCATTTATGAAATATCAAGTGTCAAAATATTATATGCAATTTTCTTGTGAAATGCACTAGTAGTTACAGCTAGATCGATCATATTATATTATTCATTTGTTTATTTCATTTACTTTATATCATATACTTAAGATATATCTTGTATGAATGTCTTGGTTAATTAACAACCATAAGTAATCCAACTGAATAAAGCCCAAACCATATATCATAATAAGTTGACCGCCATGTTTAAACTTCCATGATAGTTATTGAACCATCTCTCAAATCTATATCACGAAAACCAGGTTAAGGATCTCGCCTGTTCAGTTTGTTGCTTATAGCATAATATTGTCAATCCATCGCGGATAACATAATCTTTTTATACTCATTGCTTTTTACATAAAAGATTTAAATGCATATCTTATGCATGATGAATTTGCTAATCAACATTATGCATCAATATGCAACTCTTAAATAAAAGAATACAGTTTTTAATAGCATCCCTAAAACTTCAACATGTGCTTTGCATAATTTATAATTGCTATGCGATAGTTTATTCATGAATGGTAGAACATAAATATTTACTTTTCAATATGAACTATCTAGCCTATACCTTATATTTTATTCTATATTAATATAATCATTTGCATGCATTAAACTTGAGTAATTTTGGTCTATGAATTGGAAATTGAATATTTTACTCGAATTGATGATCAACACTTGGACAAGCTTCTTTCCATCTATTACTACGTAAATTTGATATCTTCCATACAAAATGTGAATTATAAATTACTTTAATCATAATCTTTTTCTAGCTTGCCGAACCTAATTTAACTAGAAATAATCTCAAAATATTCTATTACCTCAAAAGTGAATTGGAATGGAATACGGACGCTTATATGAAAACCCGATGTTCTACCTCAAAACCCATTCCTTTTTTTTTAACCTTTGAATATTTTTGGGTATGTCGCATTTCACCTATCACAAGATTTAAAGAACAATTACAATACTGAAACAATAGCGTCTTTCTTATCCTTCAAGTTTGTATGTTCACTATATTTTGTTTGTTAATTTACCTTTTGATTTACTGTGCCATTTTCTCATTTGCTGCTTCAAATTTCTTTCATTTAATATTTTCTTTATGCATGATTGTGAAGCCTGTGGATCATGCTGAAAAGCCTATAGATTTGGGAAGTGCTGTTTCCATTCTAAGGGGCGAGAAACAGAACATTCGGAGAAAAGTGAAGCGTGCTAGGATCGACCAGATTAGAATCAGCCTTGGCCTTGCAGATTCACAAAGGACTCCGATGGTAAATATCTTCCAGAACATAGCTTTACTCAATCTCTTTCATAAACTATGCTCTTTATTCTTTACTGTACCTTTCATAAACTTAGGTGCTCGCTGGGAAACATAAATGTCTTCAAATGTGTTTAACTGTCATTATCTTGAAAATTTTTAATAACCAACAAATTTCAGGAAAATGTCCTTTTATGGTCTGCTACTATTTTTTATCACTATAGTGGTGGAAATTATAATCTCTGTTGAGAGATCAAGTCTACTAATTAAGTAGATTATGGCTTTTATAATCATAATATATTTATCTTAAGCTCATACAACGTGGAGAGCTTCCAAAGCGGGTATTTAATATCCTTTATTCAATTAATTATGTCCTTGTGAAGCCTGGAGAATCTCTGAAGGACTTCTACAAAAGAACAAACACATATTGGCAAATGGCTGCTTATGAGCATACCCAGCATACTGGAAAGGTAAGTAAATCTCAGGCTATGAAATAGCTATCTCAGCATCTTATTTGTTGGAAATAAATTAGTATTGTTCTGTTGTTTATTCCTTCTTTTGAAGTCATGCAATTAGTTTGGAAAGGATGCATTTATATTGAAAATTACAGCTAATTTGCACTAGATGGTCACTTTAACCAATAACTGGGAAACATCCGGCATGTTGTTACATTGATGTTATTTTCAAAAGTATGAAATTTACTCTGTTGAATATAGATCTCATTCCTCATTAATATCCATATTCAATGACCCTTATTATGAAATTTTAATCTCTTACATTTTCCTGAAATACTCTTTTCATCCAAACATCTCCTGATTTTTAGATGCTTTAATTTTTTTTTATTCTACCAAGCTTTACTTGACCTCTCCACCATTATTTTGCGCGGCTATCTGGGAATGAAGGCATGAATCATAGGTGAATTTATGATACTGATTTGTCGAAACTTTATATTGCTCTTTCTTCCAATCTTCCATTTGAACTTTAAAAACTTCGAGCTTTCGGTTCTCATGCATGTTAGTTTTTTGCTCTAGCTTCATATTGAATACCTAAACTTGATTTTTTTACTTAATATGTCACCTTACTTGTGAAAAAGTGTATTCCACTTCTTAAAGGTTAAAATATTGATATTTGTGATGTGATATGAAAGATTTGGGTGGTATAAATGTAAAAAAGTAAAGCTTAGATATGTAAATACATAGGAATTGAGTATTCTGTATGTAAGTGGCCCTACAATAATTACATGGAAGGTAAAGTTGAAAGCTAATATCTACAATCATGGTATATTTCCTCTAATTGCATTGTCATCACACATGACTTTATTTTCTGATGTCTCTCTCACAACCAAACTGTAATTCTGGACTGTGGCATAAATTTTACAATTTGCCGTCCCATTTTTTTTTTTTGTTGCTTTTTTTTTATTTTTATTTTTATTTTTTTGAATAAATGATGAACTCCAGGAGCTTCGCAAAGATGGTTTTGATCTTGCTGAAGCACGATTTAAAGAACTTAAGCCCATCCTCGATGAGGTGACTAAAATATTATATATGGATTTTCTTTTCTTTTTTTTTGTTTTTCCCCTTTGATGTATTGATTCTGTAAATAACACGTTTCTTTGTCTTTTTTCTTCTTTTTTGATTCCTCCAATTGTGTATTGAAGCTGGCTATACTTGAGGCTGAGCAGAAGGCTGAGGAGGAAGAAAATGCAGAAATCAGTTCAAGAGCAAGGGGCAATAAGCAGAATAAACAGCGAAATCCTCTGAGATAGAATGCCTATTTTATTACTTCCTATGCCTGGTTTTTTTTTTTTTTAAAATCTAAATAGATTTGTAATAGAAACGTATTTATCATATTCAAATTTGTTAATAAATTATCTATTTTTGGTTTTGAACTAATTTCTTTTAATAAGTTGTGTCATATAATAAGTTATACTCTTATTTATTATTCAATATTTATTAATCCTTAAAATTATTGAGAATATCTTTATTTAGTAATTAATTCTAAAACCAGAAACCACCATTTTTTTTTTAATTTTGCTTGTTTTAATATAGAATATATTTTTCTAAATATAATATTTATAAGTATATCATATATTTGGCACAAACAACACATCCAATGCACAAATCTAAATAATACATGATTTTTATATGATGTAAAGGATTTGAGGAAAGCATAATTTAAGTGATGATATGTGCATGGATACGAATTCGGTGGCATGCATGTAAGATCCCCAAATACAAAATTCTTACTAACGATCAACAAACAGTAATAGAGCATATAATTTTGTTCGTATGCAAGTCGTCAACGGCTTTATTAAAGAAAGAAATCAGATTTAATCTGATTATCAAATCAAAATCAAGCAAATTTAAGTTAAATATGGTCTCTTTACTCGGTAAAGAAACGAAGCAGGAAAGTGGCCTATAATAACTTCGCTAATTTATAAGAAAATTGAAAAATTTTTCATAAATTTCTCATTATTTAAATAAATCATGTAAAGTTCCACATCACAAATTTGAGAAACTACTTCACACGAAATTCTTAATGCTGTGCCAAAAACTAAACCACAGCGCTGTACTTACTGTTCAAATAAATGACGCTCATCACCCAACTCTTCACAGTAGACAATCACTGCAGTTCACAAGCAACAAAACATAAAAACTTCATGGAAGAAAAAATAATGAACCTTTAAGAAAAAAATATTAGAAATGGTTGCAGTTAATGTATGGAAACCCTAGGCATTTATTTTTTGATCCCTGATCTTGCTTATCTTAGCATTTATCAGTTTATCTAATATGGGAGGCTCCAGCGGGATTGGATCCAGACACCGCTCATGAGCTGCATTGATAACCTGAAGCAGAACAGAAATAATAATAATAAAATGTCTAAAATTGTTTCCATTTTACTGTTTGGTGGCAACCAAAGCACAATAAGAAGAAAACAAAATCAGAATCGGCTTCAAAATTATTGGAATTACTTCGAAAGGTATATAATCCAAATTTTGATTGGATGCTCGTATATAATGCTCCTCTCAAAGTGAATCCAACTGAACAGTTTTTATTAGATATTCTATTGCAAAAACTTTTCAGCAGAATATTTTGCAATTAGGGGGAGAGCAAACATTTGTTTTTCACATGTTTTAGGGCGAAACTGAATAGCCTTTTTTTTTTTTTCCTTTAATGCTTCGGAGTTTTATAATTAGCGTCATTTTATTGAAGGCGGATTTGCATACATACCACACAATTATTAAGTATTTATATATCTAACACCTAAACATTCATAATTACATGCATTTTACTGGAATCTTTAAGATCGCGTCAATTGTATCACCATTACTATCTTTTTAAAAGTGAAATACACATTTTTATGCATGGATTTATGACACCAAGGTGTCAAAAGTATATAAATAGTAAACTTTGGGTGTTAAATACATAATTTGTGTCTGCTATTAATATGAACCTGGAAGTTTTATTTGCATGACAATAAACATGCTTTTAAAATGAAATTTTATGTGCTATTTAGGATCCATCAGCTATTAAGATGAACCTGGAAAAGCCCGGCAAATTACTGACCAGAAAATAGAAGAATATAACCGCTAAAAGCATAATGACTACCTCTTTGAGTAGGAAATCAATGATTGCTTCATCATCAACATATTCTTTCAGAAGATTCTTCAGAAATTCAATATCCAATTGGATTTGTTGGTATCCACTTCGATTTAATGTTTGGAGACGCACAAATTCTTGTAAGCTTTTGAGACATAGTTTGACAATAGTTGATACAACTGATTCCTGGAAGGCATGAATGAACTCAGAATCACAAAGGCTGAAATAGATAAATGTTTGGTGGTTCACTTACTGGATGCTAAACTGTCAAAAAAGCAGACTTTGAAGTAGAACTCACTAAAATAAAAATAAAATTGAATAAATTGTAGCAAGTGCTGGGAGCAATAAATTTGGCATAATAATGGAAAAGTTTGGTTGATTTAAAAAACCATTAAAAAAAAGGGGCATTTACATACATGGCTCACGATTCTTATGTATTTACATATTTCACGCCTAAACATTCATATTTACACAGATAGTACTCAAATCTTTAACATCACATCAAAAATAACATTGTTCCGCTCCTTAAAAGTGAAAACACATTTTCATGCATAGGTTTAAAGCACCAAAGCGCTATGTATTTAAATATTAAAAGTTAAGATGTGTGATATTTAAATACATAAGAATTGTGTGTTACGATGTAAATTTCCCTTGAAAATATAACAAAGTGGATTAGTTATCCAGCTCAAACTCAACAAGTAAATAGGGTCATTCAAGGGTCTAATCTGAGCCTCTCATGAGCATGAATCTGGCCAAGCCATGTTCAGTTGATCAGCACAATGAGCAGGCTCCATCTGTTAAAATATTAAAATTGTGATATAATAGTAAGTTTGATTTTGTTATGGTTTAAAGTAGAGCTTTAAAGAAAATACATAAATAAAACAAACTAGCTGGCTCAGCCCAATTCCACAGTATCCAATCCCATCGTCGTATCTTGCACTTCATCAACCTCCTCATCTTCCATCCTCTCCATATGTTCCACATCCTCTCATGAGTTTATTATATCATAAGACCATCCTCTAACAAAGCCAGGTTGACGTGGCAACAGCTGTTGCCCTTAAAAAATGTTGCTCATGAAATTAGATTCAGGGTTTATTTCAAGAATTTTACTTAATTAATTTTTTTTTACTTTATTCTGACTAAATTAGTTTCAACTATCCTTCAGGTAATATTTGATTTTAATTTTGACTTAGTTATAATTTGGACATAATTAAATTTGACTTCAAGTTGAATTTAGCTAATCTTGTAAACCCTATTTCTATAAACAACATATCCATGATTTGTATTTAATTAGTTAAACAACGAATTGAAAATTATATCCTCATCATACCCTTTTCCTTCCCAATCCTCTTTTTGCTACCCTCAACAAGATTATTTGACAACAAAGAAAAATGATAATAATTTGCTAATTCCAACTTCGTGCACGCTCTTGTTGATTCCGTGGTTGTTCTTTTCAATTCTTTCATAGTGCCTATTTCTCTCCTCGCTACCCTTAATGACATCAACTCAGCATTTGTCACCAGATGAATAAATGCACCTCATTGTTTATTTCCTACGAACCCCACTCTGTGTTATGGTGATCCTTTTCTGCTTTAACAGGCTCATTGGCTACACAATCAGCTCTTTATTTGAGCTTGAGAAACAATATAGAGAGTGGCATAAAGCTCAGCAAAAATTCGCAATCAATTTATTGAACAAAAACAACGTCAAAGGTGAATGGATTTCCAGATGGATTTTTAGGTCGACAAAAACTAATGAATATAATCAGAATTAAGAAAATATTGAGATTTCCCAAAAAGAAATTCAAGAAAAATGTTAAAATATATTCAATATAAATATATAAAAATAAAAATTGGTAAACTAAAACAAGCTTGTTTTTTTGGTATTGGAACATCTAACTATTCAACAAAGTGCAAGATAAGAAGTCCTGCAAACCTGAGTGTATTCAACTTTAGTGAATATTTCCATTTTTTGCTCAAATAATTTTGCAAGATGGCTCTCCAAAAACTGACTTTTAGCACGTTGAGTATTTGATCGACTAAATTTATCCTCACGCAAAGGGTTACTACGAGAAGAATTTGTGCTTCCATTGCTGTCAGAACGGCGATGTCTTCTTGTAAGACTACGTTGTAAGACCTGTCTCACCTCAGCAACAACACCATCCAACTGTGAAATAAAATACATAAATTACCAAGGCAATTTGTTTCTCCTTCATAATATAAGGAATGGATATCTTCCACTAAACAACCGCCAAACCACAACAAAATATTACATAATATGATGAAGCTAGCGGTCATTTTCCAAAACAACCCTACAAACGGGTGAAGACAATGAGTCTCCTATGCATTTAAGTCTCACTAAGAATTCATTGTTATTTTTACTTGAGCTGTCTAACATTTATTTTTAGTGAATTCATTATATAAAGCTGTAAAGGATCGGACTATAGAGAGTTTTTTAAGTGCGTATCTTTTAGTTCTAGACATTTCTTGATGCCTAAGAACGAATAGCTTCCATCCATTTCAGATGGATGTGATGAAGAACAAATCAAAAAGATAAACATTTTATGAATTGAGAAATTAAAATAGATGGTAAGTCTGGGACAAAATAGATGAAAGTAAAAAAGTTTAGGGACTAAGTTGACCAACAATTGTCATTAAAACATATATAAATAAATCGTATTTACTTTTCAAATCCATATATTTATTTGGAATTTGGTGCACTTATTAATAATAATTTCATAACAAATATTCCAACTAAAACATGAAGTAACAAACATCTTGTTTAAATTTCAAACTAAATTCTCCTCGACAACGCTAAAAAAATACATTGCTGCCTCACAAGAAATTTCATTTTTTTGGACTAACTGTTCCAAAGTTCCACTCGAAAGTATGGCTAAAAAAGTTTTTGAAAATAGAGCATGCCTACCTCTTGAAGAAGAAGATCCACAAACATATTAACCTCTCGTGGTTCCTTGTGCTGAGCATACATAACAATAGGCAAAACAAGCATGAGTAGACAACATCATCTATGATATAACAAGAAATAAGCAAATAAGAATGTAAATAACCTTAATCCAATTGGGAGTTGTGAATCTCTTTTTGAGTATGGTGGATAGGTTTTGAGATCTCATGTTTATATACTGGAAAAAAATAGACATTAGATGCTTGGTTGAATGATTTTAACCAAATGGTAAATTTATTTAGAAAAACAGCTCAGAAAGACTTATTAGCAAAAAAAAAAACAGAAAACCTTAGGAAGAGATATGTTCCTCATAAATTGGTGCCCATTGAAATCAGCTTACACTTGCGAGCCCTAATTACATTACCGCTGCCACCGCCACCCCACACCACACCCCCATCTTGGGCCTATTTGTGAACAAGTAAATTAGAAAATTCAAGTCATCCGTTTCATTAAATTTGATTAGAAATCATTACTATCATCTCAATCAAGTAGCTCGAGTATGACATGATAGAAGTGCATCGAAGACTATTTTGAAATCAATTTTGAATCATTCTACTAGCAAAGGCTTGTTGTGCCATCCTGACTAAATGGTCCAGAGCCACGTAGCATGAACATTTATAACATTAAGGCATTAGATATGATAGGCAATGGCTAAAAGGCACAACATAACCATATTCTAAAAGGCATGGTATTACCAATTTTTGCACATGAGTTTAATTGACATGAAAGATTGTGCCTAAGCCATTTGGTGATGTGGGAGCAACATGTACAGAGATGCCTTATGCGATCTCGCGCTCAAGGACCAGACGTTGAAACCTCCTGTAACCATGCGAGCTTCGGTTTTGTCATTGTTGTGGAGTCATCAAGTCCTCTTGGGCCCCTCGACTATTCTATTTCTATTATTATTATTATTATTATTATTATTATATGTGTGTGTCTGTTTCTGATGTTTTAAAGTAAATTTTTTCGTGTGTTTTGGGAGCTGTTGTTATTTTATATTTGCCTTTGAGGGTTATAAACGAGGGACGAGTAGTGCTCCAGTTGTATCTCGTGCCCGAGGTGGTGAATATCCCTCCCATCCTTCCCTTTATCTTCACCACTACCTTTCTTGTTGCAGTCGCTCGAAAACAACCCTCTTAGTTGTTCTTCCTACAATAGCAACCAGCCGTCTGCCATCCTGGTCGCCACCTTACTCTACCATCTGAGCGCTTTCCTCCATCTTCTCCCAACCCCTACACTTATTGTTCGTTGTTGTTCCAACCACATAAACCACATCCCCATAGCCTAGCTGCTGCTCTAGCACTTCCCCTATGTTGTCACAATTGTTCACTAGCTCAACACCATTTCTTGTGTTGTCTCGCTACTGTCACAGCTACCGTAACCACCTCCCTGCAACCTAGTTACTGTTCCTGCCACCCAGAACCGCCCCTAATCGCCGGTTCTTCTTTGTCCAATCCACCACCACCACCACCCAAGTTTCACCCTAATTTGAATGCTTATGTTGTGTCTATTGCTCTTTTAAATATATGGATATCGTGCTGTTGCATTTTCCCTTTCAATTGTATTGGTTGTAACTGACAATTTATTTTCAGTAATAATATTTGTTTTTCCTATTGTGGTTCAAATTAACACCGGTATCATTTAGTATCGGAGCTAACTTAATCCTAATTCTATCCTAGGGCTTCTAGCATTCGTACCCCCAAATACCCAACCCTATATCCACACAAATTTCCTTCCCTCTGCTAATTTTCCGAATCTGCCACTCCAAATTTGTGTTCCCCACTCTACATCATCCATACACACCTTATTTACCAACACTCAAATCCTAACCACGCCACCAAAGAGACAATTGTCGAAGACCTAAAAGGAAGGAAAGATCACGATGTAGTTTATGAGAAATTTGCAAAACAGATGTCCAAGAGTCTTCTATAGAGGATGTGCGGCGAAAAAGTCCTCTAATTGAAACAGAGGTCTACCACCTTAGAGAAGAGGCAATCCGGAAGTGTTGCCAGTAGCTCCAACGGTTTCTTGCTAGATCGAAGGAATGAAATGAATTACTTCTAGCATTAGGATGTCAAGGATGAAGAACCTCTACCCCAGTGGTTTGACTTGAAAAATCTGAGATGCCAGAATGTCGAAGTAAAGGTGGATTTGTCAAATTTTGACGACCACTTAGATCCAGAAGAGTTCATCAAATGGCTCCAGGCCGTGAAAATTTCCTTTGAGTACCAGAACATCTCACCGGACATAAAGTAAAACTAGTTGTCATCAAGTTAAAGAAGAGTGTATTGTTATGGTGGGAAAATTTGAAATGCATATGCTAGTGCAAGAGAAAAGACAATATCACTACCTAGTTTGAGATGAAACATGAGATGCAACGCTAGTACCAACCAGTGCATTACAGACAAGATCTGCTAATCCTAGCTTCAAAAGTGGAAATGCGACATTACTAGATGATCAACCCACCCCACAAACAAAGTATAACCCGGGATCGAGTAGCAAGAGTACACCAAGTGAAACATCCAAGCACACTCCAATTGAGGAAACGCTAGTTCAGAGTGGAGAACATGTGGGAGTCAATCCACATTCTCAAATTTGTCTTAGCAAGAAAGTGTTTCAAAGGCCACGAATTTGGGCATATTGAATTAGATTGCACAACCAGAAGAAGCATCTCTTTCACTAATGAAGGAGTAATTGAAGAAATAGTCATTGACATTGAAAACGATGAAGACGTCAAAGATGAGCGTCAACTTCAAGCAGCCGAGAAAGAGAAGGTTGTGACTCAAGGAACCCACAAGAGAGAATCCAGCTAGAATAATTGAGATTGTTCTAGAAGATAGTGAATTTGAGATACTGGGTGTTCATGCAGAGTATGAGATTATGGTGCATCGTGCTACCTTTTTGCAGGCATTGAGAAGAGCATCAATTGGACTAACATTGCATGTCCAAAAGAGAAAAAAATATTATATCAAAACTCCGCATGTATAACTACTTACGGAGTTCAATCTCGAGCTGACACGTGGATAGACGAAGCCCACCCACATAAAAAATGAAAAAAAAGAAAGAAAACTCACGACTCGACACGACTGATGTGTTATAGGAATATTCTATCGCATAGGAATATTCTCTCACTTTATTCTGAATATTTTTCGCGCTGTTCATGTGTTATTGGTGTTTTATTTAGGTGATTCAACCAAATGACAAGATAAAAACTTTTAATAATGTGTTATTAATGTCTTATGGAAGTGATTTTAAGTTAATATTATTGTTTAAAGAACAATAACATCTCAAAATCACATCAGTCACTGTTTTTAATGTGTTATTAGTGTGTTAGTCATATGTTATTGATATTTTATTGAGGTGATACAATTCAATGATAAGATAAAAATTTTTACTGATGTGATATTCATGTGTTATGGAGATGATTTTGAGTTGTTATTGTTGTTTCAAGAATAATATTTTAAAATCACCTCAGTCACTATTTTTAATGTGTTATTGGTATGTTATTGAGGTGATATAATCCAATGATAAGATGAAAACTTCTACTGATGTGTTATTCATGTGTTATGGATGTGATTTTGAGTTGGTATTGTTTAAAGAACAATAACATCTCAAAATCACCTCAATAACACACCAATAACAAACACACACCTCAATAACACACCAATAACATATGAATAATGCAAAAAATATTCAGAATAACGTGGGGGAATATTCCTATAACACGGCAGCAATGATAAATAACGCAAAAAATATTTTCTTATAACACATGTCAAAACTCTGTAATGCAGAGGAATATACATAACACGATGGAATATTCCTATAACGCATCGGCAAGGGTAAGTAACGCATTGGTAGGGCCAGGTCGAGCGTTTTCATTTTTTTTTTCATCTGTTATGTACGTGAGCCCCGACCTTCCACGTGTTAGCTCGAGATTGGACTCCGCAAGCAGCTATGTATGCGGAGTCCTGATGTAATATTTTTTTCCCAAAAGAGCCATGAGTTTGAGGAACTTGTACTAGACACATGGCAGCCTTAGATAAGAAGATTTTAGAATTCTTAAATGCATAGAGCCTTCTGAGTTGCCCCTACAAAGGGAGGTCCAACATATTAAAAATGATGAGCTTTTGAGCTACTTCTGGAAGACCATTTGGAGTCATTTGGGTATTAAATTCGATTCAAGAGATAACTCGCTGACAAAAGTTCAGACAGGAGAGATGATCCACAGTGTTGGAAAATGCCTTAAGAGTTTTGTGGCAAAGAGCATCCTTAAATGGAATCCAGGTCCTAACGGAAGAAAAAGAGGTCTCTCATGAGTGATTGCTCGTGAGAGTGGCTCGATCTACTATAGATTTCGTCCCATAGTTAATTGCTCCTCACATACTTGTTTACCATATACGTCTAGTGGGGCACGATAAGTGGTAAAAATAGTTTACAAATGTAGTGGCTCGAGAATTGATTCGTGAGAATACTCGTTTATCTACAGTGTCAGCTAAGAGTGTGTCAAAGAGAATGGATACTTATTCTACTAGAATGTAATTTGATATGACAATGTCTGCATGACTTTACAAGAGGGTACATAATTTTGTTATCTTTGTCTAGGCCAACCAGACGCCATACTACAAGAAGAAAGAAACTTCTACGAATGAGGTCGAAGCTCTAGTGACCACGGAAGACTGCTGTGAGAGCGCCACGTACAAGGACGCCTTCTACGATCCTACGTACTAGGATCAGACATGAAAACCTCCCACGACCATGCAAGCTTCAGTTTTCACACCAGAATCGAACCGGTTCAGGTTTTGTCACTATTGTAGAGTTGGTTGGTCCTCTTAGGCCACTCCTTGCTATCCTATTATTATATATTTGTGTTTCTGATATTCTAGGGTTAGTTTTTTTATGTATTTCGTTCATGACACAGAGCGGGACGCACAACTGAGAACGAACTGTGATGAGGGAAGGAAAACAACTGGAAGCTGCCCCCGATTCATATCTAGACCAAACCAGTTCAAATTTTGTTGACGTTAAGGAGTCGGTCAACCCTCTTGGGCCATTGTTAATTATCCTATTCTTATATATTTGTTTTTTGTGTTTTAAGTTTGAAGTTTATGTTCAGTACAGTCTTTGGCGTCCCAATTTCTCCCTTCTATGTCAGCTTCCAAAGACAGGTGGTGCTCCAGTTGTAGCTCGTCCGTGGTGGTGACCTTCTTTCAAGGGTTGAGTGGTGCTTCGGATGTAGCTAGTTCCCGAGGGACTTTATCTTCGACCATCCATTTCCTTCCCCGCACCCCTTGCATCGCTACAAATCCTCATTCCTCACTGTAGCCGCGTTGGACAGCCGTTGTTGCTGTTTTTTTTCCTGCGATTCTCCTCTTTCCAAACAACTCTCTTCCACTATCTTTGTTTTCCTTTTCTTGAATCAGCCACCTACCCTCCATCTTGCTGTTTACAGCCCTACAGCCTTCCAGCACCGTAGACCAGCTGTCCTTGCTGTTTTACTGCAGTTTTCCCAATTCCAGCCACTGTCGCGGCCACCCGCTTCGCTGCCCTCACTGTCACAGCTCTCCACCTTTGCTCCCACAGCCCAAAACGCTTTCCCTTCGCTGTTTTGTTGCTGCTCCAGCCGCCCACAAGCTCTACCACACATATACCTTCCAAAAACCTTGTTGAATCCACCAACCTCCAAAACTTCAACCTTCCCATTCCAGTCATCCTAGACCTCCACCACGCTTGGGATATACTTTTGTTGTGTTTGTTTGTGTCTATTGTTCTATTTCCCTTTTAGCATGTTGGTTGTAACTGCATATTAACTTTTCCAGTAATAATATTTATTCTCTTATAATTACTTGGTTCCCGATATCAATTCGAGACAGCCATAGGTGTCTCAGATTTTCCCTTTGAGGGTTGTATCTGAGGGATGAGTGGTGCTCCGACTGTACCTCAGCCCGAGGTGGTGACTATCCTCCGCTACCCTTTGTCGTCACCGCTGCCTTCCGTTTTGCAGCCGCCCAGAAACAGCCCTCTTGGTTGTTCTCCCTGTAGTTTCTCCTCCTCCTAGCAGTCAGTCTCCTGCCATCTTGGTTGCCACCCGACTGTAACATCCCAGCACCTTCATCCAACTTATCTCAGCCATCTGCCTTGCTGTCGCAGCCCCCATAAGACCCCCACCTTGTTGCCAGCTGTTGTTCCAGCCACCTAAATCGTAACCCTGCATCCTAGCTGTTGTTTCAGCACTTTCCCCGTGTTGTTATTGTTGTTCCAGTCACTCAAAACCATTCCCCGTGGATCCCCCCTGCTGTCCCAGCAATCAGAAGAAACTCCAAGCAGCCTAGTTGCTGTTCCCGCCGCCCCAAGACGCTGGTTCTTCGCTGTCCAATCCACCTACCCCCATGCCACCGCCTCTCCAAGACCCCTAATGGCCACTACCACCATCCAAGATCCACCCTAATTTGAGTGATTGTATCTAAGTATGTTGCTATTTCAGATTTCCAGATGTTGTGTTGTTGTATTTCACTTTCAAATGTGTTGGTAATAACAAGCTATTTGTTTCCAATAATAATATTTATTTTTCCAATTGTGATTTGGATTAACTCCAGTATCACTTGGAGTTCTCTATTTTTCACAGACCAAACACAACTTGTGATCCACAATATTCTCTAATGACCAATAACTTTTATCCCTACAACAAAATTCTCTCCATCAACGCCCACTAGCAATATTCTTTCTTGATTACTCCGATAATACTTTATTTAAATGAACTCACTCGTGCATTCTTCAATATGGACCTAATTGCTAACAATTTGTGTCTTACCGCACAACTCTTCATCTTTCATGTATTGATCATGCCTTCTTACGAGGCCTGGAATTTTCGAACAATAAAACTAATTCCTTGATTATCACTACAACTTATATTCAGTTAACACATGTTATGCCACCTTAAATGTAAGAAGTGTTAACCATATCCAAATTATTACATATGCTCAGTACATATAATAGAAATCAGCACGATTTTATATTACTTTGTTTCTTCATTATTGAGGTTATTATGTGTGTGTGTAGAGAGAGAGAGGTCTGTCCTAGGATGACAATTCAGTAAGCATAACCCCCTTTTAAAACGTTTGGTTAAAATATAAAAACAACATAAAAACTGCACAAACAATCAACACTGAAGTGGTGAGTATATACACGATGCAAGAACTTTTCAGCAGCCGAACGAAATAATCGACAAATTTCTCCTGGCACAAATGCCGGTCCTCGTTCATAAGCTCGTACACCACCTCCAGAGAAATAAGCAGCAATTTCCTAACAAACATGAGACAAATTGTCAAATAATGTATCGCCTAAAAAAGAATCAATACAGATATGAAGTAGGCCCCTCATGAAATGTTCAAAAAAGAAATGACATGGAAAAGCAACAAGCTTATTACTTCTGTTATTCTTGGAATTGCAGCTTGTTCTATATAAACTGAAACCTGGGCAAGCACCAGAACAAGACCTGTTTGCACTCTCTCTGCCTGTACTGAATCATTGCTCGAGCCCTTCGTGAACAAACTACCACTGCCACAAAGCAGCAGAAAATGTTGGTGAAGTTTGTGATAGAAGTCTTGGAATCCTTCTTGAACGCAGTCTCTAAGCAAGTCCCTCAACTTTACCAAGAGCTCAAAATTATCATCAAGAAGTTGACGAAATTCCTGAAATCATCAATTAGAGCTTTAAAATGATAAACTCTAAAGAAAAATGGGTGATGCAGAATGCTTACAAATCATATATATGGGTCTGAAAAGTAATTGCAGGAGCTGGGCCGCTTGTAGTCAGTAATGTGTCTTACATACAAGTTCTCAATAAGTTGAAATGGCGTTTGCATTAGAAAACAGTGAGTTTTTTTTTATAACTGTTTTTAGTTGGCATTAAAATTTACTCAAAGTGGAGAATGCAAAGTAACATTAACATTTAAACTAATCAGTATCTCGACCAAGAATTGGCTTCTATCAATTTCAGAGCATTTTATCAGGGTAAAGCTTAGAAAAATGTGAGATTGATGATAATGACCGACTCGTGTATAAGTTAGGGTCGTACCACTAGGAGGTCCATGCTACCCTGAAAAACTGCTTTCTTGATGTTTTCCAACGCAATCTGCAACGGAGATTCTTTGGATCCTTCCTTTAACCTAGGCTGAATTCTGATGAGGTCTACAATGACAGCAGAAAACCATGCATTATTATACTACCACAAATACCATACAGTTAATCAATAGATGGAAGATTTTAAAAACGATTCAACTAACCCAAGGGTTTACATAAGATTCAAGATCACATGTGAAGTATGTACATATATATAGTCATGGAGATTTCTAGGAAAAAAAAAAGAAATTGTTGAGGCAACTCAAAGAGAAATCAAACAAAATGTGAAGCTAAAAATGAAAATTACAAAAGCACCATTACATAATGACAAGGCGTACAAAATCAAACATAATGTTAATTTATCATGAAGATCCCATATCCAAGTACTCATATGGTGGAATTGTATTAGCACATTTATACAGAGTTATGTGCACCAAGCCTACCCGAGTCCATATGGTCGGCTTTCTATACCTCCTCCAGGTATGGATACGTTAGCACTTACATGTTGATAGGCACACACTTCACGTCTCCTACCCTAAGGATATTGAGGGTAAGAGTTTGAGATACAAGTACATAAAATAAGATAGACATTACCTACATAAAAAAAAATTTTCGCTTACAGAACATTTTGAAATAGGCTTTTATTGTAATTGTAATTGCAGGTGGAACAAAAATGTAGTATGGGAGATGCGACCACTGTGGTTAAAGTTTATAGGGTTGAGATTGATGACTAACTATAAAGCCAAGTTAGAGTTTAGCTTTGAGTCTCATTATATTGTATCGCATTGACTACACTAATAACTACTTTGGTTGAACAATACACAGGTGATATGGGAAACCTATAGCATATAAATCATACTTCAGGTAGTCAAAGCATGTACTTATGGAGTTGCTATTTGACAGACTCGTGATCCAAATATTTGTTTGTCATAATTGAGTGTCACCAAGCATATTGTGCAATAAGACAGTTCGAGACTATAAAACTATACTGATATGAAAATAGTGTATCCTATTTTTAAAGGAGAGAATGGCAGATGCAAGGCAAATGTGATTACGTTAAACACCATATCAACCATATCCAATAATTGGGAAATAGGCGTGCACTAGGGATTGAGGTTAATGAAAATCTAGGTGATGATGATAGGTAGCTTAGACAATACATGCACCAGAATAGATCTTAGACAACATTGTACTTACTAAAGACACCAAAAGAGCCCACACGGCTTATTACCCTAGGGAAGCTGGGGAGAGAATACTGATACGTTGACATAATCCTTGCAATTAAGTAATTAATTTTATGTAATCACGCGTCTCCATTTCGTATTTAAATTTTTTTTTATAGCAACACAAATATTTTTTTTGGATTCTAAGGAGCAGCAACCTTTGTTTTTTGGGTAGAGATGATGATAACCCATTTAGCGTACAATTAATAAGATGATGAGCTATGCAGTGATGTTCGTCAAACCATGCACATTGCAGATGATAGGTACAGAGATGACAATGAACACATTCCCTACAACATCATCCTTCCCCTCTAATGCTCAAGACCCAAAAAGTTACACTCATGTAGATTGAGGCCCATACTCTTTTTCGCCTATATCATTATCTCAAGCCACAACCGGTTCGCGTGGTGTACCATCCTTCGCATATTGGCCATCACCGGAATTTTTATGGCTTCGAGGTTCAGCAACATGCTCTACAAAGTTACATACTCCACCATGCTTATTCCCAGTTATACCGTTTGGGATGCCGCCTAAGCCAGTATCTTCAGTACCGCATTATCTTAAAAAAAACTAGATTGGAGCTCCATCGCAGCCCCAACCACCACATGTTATGATGTTTGTCCTACCATTAAGCCACAGAAGATGAGGGGAGGATGTTGACGATGAAATAAAGAGCATCATCTATGTGAATGTCTACTTTGAGGTTTTGAATATGTTTTATTATGTTTTCATACTAATGAAATCATTTACTGTATTCCAAAACAGTTTTTTTACTTCAATATGATTTTCTCTACATTTATTTTTAATTGAATAAAGTCTTGGTGGGTTTTTAAATATAGAAAATGTAAAACTTTAGTCGTCACTTAATTTAATCTCTAAAAAAAGTATATTTAAAAAAAATTTAGGTTAGGCAAAATAGTTAATAAAATTTAGTTTACATCAAATTATTTAAATACGAACAACTTAAGATTTTCAGCCAACTCAAATTGGAACAAAGCAAGCTTAATACTATTTAATTTTCCTTTTCAGAAAAAATTCTAAAATATATTTAATTTCCACTTTAAGTTTAATTTTTAAGAAAAATGAAACTAAAATTTGAAATATTTTTAATTACACGAAAGAAAATTTGAATTATTTTTTTAAATAACATAACCTCAAAATTTTATTGATCTTTAATTTTTATTTCTTAAAAAAAGTCAAAATAAAATATTTAAAAAAAATTTAGTTACAACTTGCATATTATATTGAAACACTTTTGATTGATATTTCAAAACAAAATAAAAATATAGTTTTATTTATAATTTAATTTAATTTTTTAAAAAATAAGAAAAGATATTCTAAATAAATAAACTTCCCCGTGTCCAAATTTATCTCCTCTTTCCAAAATATTTCATTCACCATTCACCCAGTTTTCACAATCCTGCTCAAACCACCTTTTACAAAAAAGAGACGAAATAATCTAAACTTAGGTTAACAAGGTTTTTGTAAATATTAAATAATGAAATGGTTCCTACGCAGCATGATTTCTGCCACGTAAGGCTAGAAATAGTGCCACATAGGCACGATTTTGTCCATTCTTAATTTTTTTAATTACATTTATTTAGATAAATTAATATTAAGATGAGTTTACTTCAAAATTTTTGCCTTATTGTTCACCTTAATTGAGCATTTTGTCTTTTTGGAAGCATTACTCTGAAGCTTATTTTATTCATCAAAGAGTGCAGAATGCGCCATAGGAAGCACAAACAATGAATAGAAAACCTTAACCTCAAAGAAAGAAAACTCTCCCATTGGTCATTAACCAAGCATCTACGGCTATCAAAAAAGCTCGTTGTTCGCGAACAGCTCGTGTTCGGCTCGTTTTTTAAGTAAACAAGCCGAACACGAACAAATTACGCTTAATATATAATAGAGCCAAACATAAACAAAATTTGGTTTGTTCGTGTATGTTCATTTTGGCTCAAAATAATTAAATTATATATATATATATATATATATATATGATGAGTATTATTTTTAAAAATATTTAATTAACTACAAGGCTACAAAGTTTTATACTTAATTAAAATTATTAATTAAAAATAGAATAAATATATATTAAATTTTATTTAAATGAATATTTTAATAAAAAGAATAAGATTTAAAACTCGCCCATACTCTTAACATATAATAGTTGTATAATCGAACACGAACTCACGAGTCGATTTCGAACACGAGCTATTTCGAACGAGCCGAACACGAGCCAAGCCTGAGCTCGCTCAAGCTCGGCTCATTTACAGCCCTACAAGCATCTTGTTCGAGCCCACCTATATCCAGTTCACACTGTTATATACCAAGTAGAACCCAATTGACAAATTAAGGGAATACAATAAATACATCCAATACATTTTGGACTTCTTTTACTTCAATATATCTCTAGATTTGGCTAGGACAAGTGGCTGAAACAGCTGTAAAACCAAACCAACCACTAAAACAGTTATGTCCAGTTGAGGGACTGTTTAACTGGAATATCGCTAGTCCATGCCTTGATGCGGAAACTAGTAGGTAAAACAGTAGAAACGCAAAAACACACTCTTATTAATAGGAGAATATGTTTACAATACAACACAATAGAAAATAACAACACCGACAAACACGACACAAACAACACCTTTAAGGTGTTTTCCAAGGGTGGTGAAGGCGGCTAGGTGGTTCAGGATGGTAGACAAGGGTGCTAGGAGCAAGGGGGTGCTGATGGGCAGCGAGGCGAAGCTGCAGAATTGTGAAGCCGGCAAGTATGGAGGATCATAGGAGACTGGCGGCATGCAGATTAGTGTTTAGAAGGTGTTGGACAGTAAGAAGGCTATAAGGGAAGGGAATGCACTACAGGTGCGGCGATGGGGCTGAAAGGGTGGAACAACAAAAGGGGACTACTGTAGGAGGATTGACGCGGTGCAGATGGTGGTCGGAGAGGCTGGACAGCAAGGTAACTGCAGAAGATGGGGCAGCAGAGGCTGGGGAAGGGGATTAGGAGTGACCGGCGGCTATGGGGGAGGAGGAGGGTTGGATAGCCAAAAGAGAGGAAGATAAACACCACAATGGAGTAAGATACAGTTAGAGCACCACCAGCTCCTCAAATACAGCCCACAAAGAGGAAAAGAACTCCACACCGGAATCTGAAATCAACACACAACAAAATCTGCCCTAATTTTCTAAAAAAACAATATATAGACTCCAATTGGGGGAAAAATGAAAGAAATAGGAAAGGAAACTCTCACAAAAAGGGAAGGGTGGAAATACTCCAGAAAATAGCCATTGGAGGCTTTCAAACAGGGGAAGAGCAAAAGAGGAAGGGATGTAGTCCCACCTTCTCCACGGTATTCTCGATCCTTCTGCTCTGCTCCTTTGCAATCGAGTATCTGGATCGGTTCCCTGGACCGTTCGAGTAATTGGCCAGTTGATTCAGCCGACTGGCATATTAGCGCCTCGTAATATGGGCTCTATTAATGTCTGATATTTCTTTTACATTTAGCATATATTTTTGAATAAAATTGCACTTTAAATAAGAGTATTTTTATGTTTTTCTTACAGGTATAAAAGATAAAGAGATGTGGAGCAAATTGGAACAAAAATGAGACGATTGGAGCAATGGAGGAAATAGCAAACTAGCGCCTAAGCACCAGCTTCAGGCACCTAGGCGCCAGTACATGGCGCTATGGCGACGCAGATGGGCGCCTAGACATCCGACATGTTTCCGCAAACACAGAGGACGGCGCCTAGGCGTCGCAGACTAGCGCTTAGACTCCAGTGATTTCCCAGGCTTACCCGACAAACCAGGGAGTTATTTGACGAATCTAGATGATTGGT